AAATAAGTTGTCTACATAAAAAATATATTTTACTAGGATCTGTAGGCCCATTGTCTAAGCTTTTCTTAAATAACTCAGGAGTTTTTAGGTCATAAAAGACAGTATTTAGATATTTACAGAACTGATTTCTTGTGATAAAAATAGCCGTGTCAAATTTCACGTCATCACATAACGTCATAAAAAGAGAACACACTTTTAAAGAGAGTACAAACCCATTAAACTAACCTCAGTTGTACACACTTGTACACTTATGCTAACTAGTCACGAGCCGTTCTATTTTTATCTTTAGTTGGGGCACCAGTTTTGGACTCGACGGTTACATCCTGATGTCCAGAAACAAGAACAACCAGTGTGGTATCGCCACACAGGCCAGCTACCCCGTCGTGTGAAGACATTGGTCCAGCCCACCTTGAAATTTCTTAGGTCAAGTGCGATCTTAAGTGCTGTACGTAATAAATGCATGTTACTACTAATATAATGTAAATCATCTTAATTACAATTTATATAAAAAAGAAACATTTCTATTAAAATATCTTTTAAAATAAAAATATAGTTGTTAAAATGTATTCTGTGTAATTCTAAACTAGTTGTTTTATGAAAAGAATGTTTTATTCATTAATTAGTGATGAATTAATTAGCCAAATATCTAAACTCTCGATAAAAATTCCCACCTATTAGATTTGGAAGAGAAAAAACAAGCAACGCTCAACAGTGGCGTAGACTGAACCTTAAGTAAAACAGTAATACAGTAGTCATATTGGGGAGTTAATGGGGAAGGGGGTTATAACTCCTAAATCAACCCTCACTGTTTTCGCAACAGCCGGCGTAGATTAGTAAGCTACACAGATAACCATCAGGGGAAGATAATGCTAACTTCACTCATGATTTACTTTCTCTTAAAAGTTGTCTTTTTTAACCGTTTTCTCGTGTTCTTTTTTGCGTGAGTGTAAAATAGAGTTTCTTCCAGACATCTCTTCAACCTCCCCCCCCCTCACCGAACGAAATGGAAGTTATATAGAAAATCTATAATTTTAACAGTGTCGCCCCCCTCTCCCCGAATTTTTTTTTCAAATGCACACCCCCTACAGAGAAAAAAGTCTGGAAGAAACACTGGTGTAAAAGCAACCCTAACATCAGTGGCATAACTAGGATTTTCGGGCCCTATGCAAAATTTATCAGTGGGCCCCTTTGTCAGCCGTAAGGCTACAACGGAGTGAAACGAACAAAATCAACTGCTACTTCCAATGTAGGCTTTTAAATAATACAAATATTCTGTACATTTTGTATTTTATACATGATGATTGTTTATTTCTACTATATTATTATGTAGGCCTACAACCCCGTAGTTTTGTAAAAATGTTACAGGCTTACAGTTAATTTGCTTTTGTTTTTTAAGTAACCAAACACATCAGGGTCGCAAGGCGGGGACATAGTTACGGTCCGCATCGTGACACCAGGACGAAGCTTTGTAAAATTTACTGTCAAAATCTTGTTGTATCCAGCTAAATAAATAAAACATAAGTCAGATCGTTGAATAAGTAGTACCACTGCAGTACGGGCAATCAACGGATCCATTGCACTCAGGAAACCGCTGGCTATCTCGGGGCGCTCAGGGACACCTCTTATTCGATTTAGTTATCAATTTTAGTAACCCTTGTGACCTACTTAGGTCCTGTCTTTTTAGTTTTACATTTATTAATCAACCATGGGTGACCTGTGGTGTAATCACCGGTATTTTTCCATAGTTTCAAGAAAGATCTATACCCAGTACTTTTTCATCACGATATGTGGTGCAAACTTTCTATAATTTCGATTGGTTAATTCGGACATCGGCGATGGCCTAACCAATAGTCTTATGACTTGAAGGTGACCTCCCATGTTTCCTAAGTTGTTAAATACCCTGCGCACACGTTTCTCTGGGCAGTCCAGACCAGATCCTGAGAGAGAAAGCCATATTCTTAGTGAATGACGCTCATTAAAACGAATACAGGCGCCGTGGAGCTTATGGGGGAGTCCAGGGCGCACCGGGTTAAGTGACCATCGCCGCGCAAGCTGATGCGCCTGTGTAATTTGACCGCTGTGGAGCCCAGGTGGAAAGATAACCGCTTTAAAACTGAATGGCAAACAGCACCGCCTTACTGCCGGGGCGCCGCCATCCAAAAAAAAAAAACGAAACAAAAAAAAACTTCCCAAATAAATGAGTTTCTTTCCAGGCAAGTTTTCAGAAAAATGCCTGGAAAAAACTACTGCCTGGAATATTCCCAACCACTTCCAAAATTTTCTTATCGATTGGAAGAAAACCAAAATCTCATACTTTTAGTAGGGCCCTGTTCGACCCCCCACACCCCTCCACACACACACACACACACATACACACACACACAGACATACGGACAAGATTGCAAAACTATGTTTTTCCGACTCAGGGATCTGTAAAACGTCGAGATTTGCAAAAAATCAGGACTTTTTTTGCACGATTACAAGACTTTCTCTATACTTCATATATACGAGAAAGTAAAAAAAAATCAAAGCACTAACAGGCTTTGCAAAACACGGTTAAAGAAGGCCCACCAAGATTTTTCTCACTAGACCGGTGGGCCAGAAAGCCCAACCTGAATTCTGGCTCAGACAGGTAGGTTTTAAACTATTAGCTACGTTTGCCAACTTGTTATAAAACTAAGTTATAACAGAGTACTGTTAAATAACAAAACTATTCTAGATTCCCACTAAAAATGTTTTAAACATATTAACGAATTAGCCGCGGTGGATACTTAGATCAGAACCTTCGTTCGCTCTTCACTCCAACCTTCACCCCAACCTTCACCCTAACTTTCACCCCAACCTTCACCCCAACCTTCACACCAACCTTCACCTCAACCTTCACCCCAACCTACACCCCAACCTTCACCCCAACCTTCACCCCAACCTTCACCCCAACCTTTACCCCAACCTTCACCCCAGCCTTCACCCCAACCTTCACCCTTACCTTCAAATTCTCTACGACAAACTCGCCAACGTTACTCCTAAAAGTTTGGTCGACGCTTTAGACCATTTATTTCCAGTTATTATGACCCTAATAGATCAGACCTCAGACACAAGACCGTAATCGACTATAACTCGGACTCATGACCCCACCCGATTCGACCCCGAACACACAACCCTAATTAATCAAAGTAATACATTTTTTCGTTCAGTATAGAAGCATGTACAACAGATCAGCTTCAGAAAGCTAATACCCTAACCGTGCCACTGGGTTAACTATCCGAGGTCATGATCATGGTCATGTATTGATTTACACTTCACTTTCTATTTCAATTTAAACATAAATTACATATAGCATTTCAAAATATTGATGAGAACCTCACTAAACAGTATGTAAATACTTAGAATTCATGGTAGATTTAGCCCACACACATATATATTATCTCTTCCCTCACAAAAACATATCGATCAGCAAAGCAGATATTCAAATTAGTGAAAGTGGGTTAGAAGTCTATGGATAATCTGGTGGGCCTTCCCTAATCCGTGTACATTTGCTTGATAGAAGATTATCTTATCTCAAGTAGAAAGTCCACGATTAAAAAATAGAATGTATTGGAATGTCCGCTTACAAACACACACACACACACATACACACATACACACACACACTAACACACTCATACACACAAACACACAAACACAAACACACACACAAACACACACAAACACACACACACACGCATACACACACTCACACACACACACATTCACACACACACAAACACACACGCACACTCACACACACACAGACACATTCACACACACACAAACACATTCACACACACTCACACACACACATACATACACACACACACACATATATATATATATATATATATATATATATATATATATATATATATATATATATATATATATATATATATATATATATATATATATATATGGGGACCCCAGAAAACATCATACTTATGTATACCATTTCGTCATGAAAACTGAAACGATACTTACAGTACAGGCTTTTAAGAAACTATAAATAAACTATCACTTAAGGTCGCTGGAAATCGCTCTAAAGACACACATACAAATAAACAAGATTAATTATTTTTTTCGATTAAGGAGTTCAACAGACAGACTGTCGAACAGACGGACAGAGTTAGTTACCTAAGTAAAAAAAACAACAACTTATTAGACAGCTGGGCAAGAAGTGTGGATCGTGACGTCATTTAATGAGGTCTTTTTTTGTGATTCGTAGAAACTATGTGAGGATGAGAAAACTCCTAACATGAACTTAACCCAAGTTTTCCCATGCACATTTTTCAATTTTTAAATAATTTTTGAAGTTTTACATTACACTCATTTAACCGGAATATACAAACACTATCGCAAAAAAATAAACAAAATAAAATAAAAATAAAAAACCCTGAGCCCCCATCTCTTTAAACAAATGTGGACGAGCGCCTTCACAAACATCTGGACACCTGTCGTCACAAACATCTGGACCCCTGTCTTCACAAATATCTAGACCCCTGTATGTACAAACAATCTGGACCTTTATCTTCACAAACATCTGGACACCTGTCCTAACAAACATCTGGACACTTGTCTTAACAAACATCTGGACACTTGTCTTAACAAACATCTGGACCCCCGTCTTCACAAACATCTGGGTAACAACAGTCTTGAACTCTATTGCAAGCTGTGCGAAGACAGTGATTAATTTTATCACTCCCATCTCATTAACGTATTTTTAAAATGCTATTTACAATGGTAGCTCTTCGATACAAAGAGCATGTTCTCTGATTTTCTGTTAACAGCGCAATTTTTATAATTAAACGTTACAGCCCTTAATTTTTTTGAACGTTTTAGCCATTCTCTGAATTGAATTACTTCAATTCCAATGTCTATACCGTGGTTAAAGTACAGTTTTTGTCCATTGTTTTAATTTCCACGTGAGGGATTAAGTCTAACCCCACGTTGATAAGACTGGTCAGATGATTGGTTTACGTCATTTGGGTTATAAAAGTCGAAAATCCAGGCATGTGGTCACTAGTTTCAGCCTGTACTAGCTGGTAGCTGAAGAACAACTGCTTGTCCTGATTACTGGTGTTCGACTGTCTCTTCAAAACTTACACGGTAGGCAAAGTTAAAGTTTATTAAAGTTACTCGGTACAATTTTTAAATATTGTCTAAAACTAAATATATATAAAGAAAACAACGAAATCACAGAGCTTTCATTTTCAACTGCTTAATAATCCGATGCTCTCTCAAATTGTTTTATAACTTATGCGTTTAAAATTAGTAATCCATCAAAATAAATAAATTGTTTGGCTTAGTTTATTAGAAACTTGAGGGCTATAACAAGTAATCTTTATATTAGCAACATGTCTACTATGTAGGAAAGTTAGTTTAATTTGAGGCAGTTTAAACAACTTTATTTTAAGTTAGTTCACAGTTTTTCAACTGCCTTAAAATTTTGGATAGAGCATTTCAATTACTTTAAAACTTTGGATACAGCTACTTGTTATCTAAATTAGGCCTATATCTAAAGTTAACACACAGTTTTATCAATTCGAATGTTGTGAAAATCCTCCATAAGTTCCAATCTTCACCAGATGCTGAGAGTTGTGATTCTGGCATTGGCCGTCTGCTTGGCGTCTGCCAGTATGGAGGCCAACTGGGTCATCTTTAAAGCCAAGCACAACAAAACCTACACAGGGGACGATGACGTCATCAGACGGTACATCTGGCAATCAAACCTGAAGACAATCGAAGAACACAACGAGTTGTACGCCAAAGGTCTCAAGAGTTATTACCTCAAGGAGAACAAGTACTCGGACATGGTCAGTTATATAATAAATAAATAAATAAATAAATAAACAAATAAATAAATAAATAAATAAATAAATAAATAAATAAATAAATAAATAAATAAATATAAATATATATATATATATATATATATATATATATATATATATATATATATATATATATATATATATACATATATAAGTATATGATTTTGGTTTACTTTACGTAAGTAGTACGTAAAAAACATACTACTTGTTTTTCCCTTTGAAATTTTATTCGATACAAGATTATCAAATCTTTGAGGAACAAATCTCTAAATATTTGGTTGTTTTTTCTTCACGAGCGATGCTTTTAAAAGAAACAGGACAATTAAAATAAGACGCTTACAAGCACACAGAAATTGAAACGTTGGATATTTCATTCGGGAGTATTAAAAGTACTTTCCACCTAACGTTTGTGCCTTCAAAATTTCACAATGTATTTAATAAGTTAAACTAAATGTTTGTAAATATGCTGTAGTATTATTTTCGAACACAAATGCATTGCTTACACTAAAGAGTGTATACCGTTCTATTATTGTAGGCTTAATGGCCACAAATATAGTCATCGTCAGTTTAATTTATTTTGAACTTGTGAAGTTTTAAAGGTCCAATGATTTGAAAACAAATCTGATTTGGGGCCCAGGCTTAGAACTATACGCTTTGAAGATGCAGTGGCACTGAACAGTAAACATTCCTTTTTAGAACTAACGATCTATTGGGGGAGATGAAGTAGAGTTCATGTTTCTCGACCTCAGCGATGGTGTCAGCGCTATGTTTCCCTAATGCGAGTTAAGAAAACCATAAGATTTGAGTGGACTCAGACATTCGAACTCGAGTCTTTCGGGTTAGCAGTCTAGCACTCTACATCTGAGCAAGGTTTCCCCCTTATATATACTGTACTGTACACTATGTATCAGAGTGAAGATGAATTCAGAGCAACCATGAATGGATTCCGCCCGAAGCAACCTTTGACCCCAGGCAACTACGAGAGCGGTCTATTGAAGGACGTCCTGCCTCCATCCGTCGACTGGAGGAAGAAAGGCTACGTCACAAGAGTCAAGGACCAGGGCCATTGTGGATCCTGCTGGGCGTTCTCCTGCACGGGGGCTCTCGAGGGTCAACAATTTAACCAGACGGGCAAGTTGGTCGAACTGTCCGAGTCCAACTTGGTCGACTGTTCCAGTAAATGGGGTAGGTGTTTCAGTGTTTTTATTCTAGTTGGCGTCCATCTATAAATGGGGTAGGTGTTTCAGTGTTTTTATTCTGTAAACAATTCTAAGTGAGTCTATTTCAACCTCTCCACACTATCCGCATGTGTCACCACTAAAATTTGAACTTTCTGAATCTTTCACTTTCCCTAAAATCATTTTTAGCATAGTTCTGTTTTAAGACATCAGCTTTGGTTTCTTTTTTTATCTTATTGTTAGCAAGAGCTTTTCGTAAGTTTTTAAATGACATTTAACAAGAAAGGAAAGAACTTTCAAGATCTGACAACTATGAGGCAGATAAATTAGAGTGGCTTTTACTTTTCCAGATTTTGGTCTGGGATCTCGACATAGCTGGGAGAGATCAGGGACAGACCTCCAATCTTGTGAATTCTAGACTTTTAGGCTAGTAATCCTGCGATCAGGAGACTGCGTGCTCTGATGGTAGAGCTAACACGAAAGTCTCTTTTTCGGATCCCATTGCTAGATTATGTAGGAATCCCTGTAGTCTGTAGTCAGCCCAATTCTGGGTACGGTGATGACCACAATATTCTTCATATTCCGAGGTCATCAAAACAGAAAAACTCTACTTCACCCACCATATCTGGCTTGGGTCTAAACGCTGAAAGATTATGGTAAATCGTGATCTTTATCACTTGATCACTGCGTCCTATTTTAAGACGTGCGACTAACTGTTTGGTATTTTGTTGTAGCTGCACTCTACCGTTTAACCACCCAACCCAATTTAAAAACGTCCATCAAACGTTTAGTTAGTCTGTTGTAACTGCCGTATGATTTCAGGAAACCACGGCTGTGCTTATGGTTATATTGACCAGACATTTCAATACGTCATTGACAACAAAGGCATTGACACCGAGGCCAGCTACCCTTACGTACCTGAGGTAATCTGACATTTGGTGTGTCATCACGAACTGACATTGACATGACATCGACGACAGACACAACGGAAATATCAGTGAATACCATTACACAAAGGAGACAATTTAAGTTAAACTATTAAAAATTATGTTGATCCCAGCTACACAATGTTATATATATAAAATATCTAATTGATCGGATAACCAAAAAAAATGTTATTCATCTTGGATTTGCACATTTAAAAAAATAATTGCATCGTGTTGGCTTTTGAAATAAAATGCTTGTATATAATTTACGCTGATTACTAAAACATGTAACTGATAATTTCGCCATGCCAGGATGAATCTTGCAAATTTAATTCGTCGGATGTTGGTGATAAGATCAGATCTTTCGAGAAGGTGAAGTCTGGGAGTGAGGATTCTCTAATGCAAGCAGTGGCCACGGTGAGTCGTTGGGCGGGGGTTGCGTAGGTCGGTGTGTGTGTGGTGTAAGGTGTGGGGCGGGGTGGTGTGTTTCATTTTGTGGGAGGGGTGGTGTGGTTCATTGTGTGGGATGGGTGGTGTGGTTCATTTTGTGGGATGGGTAGTGTGGTTCGTTTTGTGGGATGGGTGGTGTGGTTCATTTTGTGGGATGGATGGTATGGTTCATTGTGTGGGATGGGTGGTGTGGTTCATTTTGTGGGATGGGTGTTGTGATTCATTTTGTGGGATAGGTGGTGTAGTTCATTGTGTGGGATGGGTGGTGGGGTTCATTGTGTGGGATGGGTGGTGTGGTTCATTTTGTGGGATGGGTGGTGTGGTTCATTTTGTGGGATGGGTGTTGTGGTTCATTTTGTGGGATGGATGGTATGGTTCATTTTGTGGGATGGGTGGTGTGGTTCATTTTGTGGGATGGGTGGTGTGGTTCATTTTGTGGGATGGATGGTATGGTTCATTTTGTGGGATGGGTGGTGTGGTTCATTTTGTGGGATGGGTGGTGTGATTCATTTTGTGGGATGGGTGGTGTGGTTCATTGTGTGGGATGGGTGGTGTGGTTCATTTTGTGGGATGGGTGGTGTGGTTCAATTTGTGGGATGGATGGTATGGTTCATTGTGTGGGATGGGTGGTGTGGTTCATTTTGTGGGATGGGTGGTGTGATTCATTTTGTGGGATGGGTGGTGTGGTTCATTGTGTGGGATGGGTAGTGGGGTTCATTGTGTGGGATGGGTGGTGGGGTTCATTGTGTGGGATGGGGTGGTGTGGTTCAAGGCGTGGGGCGTGGTGATGTAAATTGTTTTACACTCATTACAAAAAACCCTCGGTTTTACTGTGTTGTGGTGCGCCTTAATTTAATGACCACATGACCACCACATGACCACCACCTGACCAACAGACCACATGACCACCGAACCACCTGACCACTAGACCACCTGACCTTCTGACCACCTGATCACTGACCACCTGACCACCGACCAACTAACTGCTACCAACCGTTTTATGTGACAGGTTGGACCAATCAGCGTGGCTATCGACGCTAGCTCGTCAAGCTTCACGAGCTACGGCGGTGGGGTGTATGACGAGCCCGACTGTAGCAGCACAGACCTGGACCACGCCGTACTGGTTGTAGGCTATGGCACCCAGGACGGCAAGGACTACTGGATCGTCAAAAACAGGTCAGACACAGTCATGTGGACTATTGGGATCGATGTGAAATTAGAGTTAATGGTAGGATACACCGACTAATCTAGGTGAAGAAGAGAATATTTTAAAAGAAAGCTTTCGATAAGAGATGGAAGGTGTGAGAATACTTATATACTTTTAAATTTGTCAATATGGAAGATTGGATTTGTTGAAAATTTGGATAACTCGTTGAAATTTATATATACCTAAAAATCAATACTTGTTTTTACCCTTGTGGACGATTGGTTGAAAAATTAATAAAAAATATATTTTGCTAGGATCTGTAGGCACATTGTTTAAGCTTTTCTTAAATAACTCAAGAGTTTTTAGGTCATAAAATACAGTTTTTAGATATTTACAGTAACTGATTTCTTGTGATAAAAATAGCCGTGTCATATTTCACCTCATCAAATGACGTCATAAAAAAAGAACACACCTTTAAAGAGAGTACACACCCATTGAACTAACCTCAGTTGTACACACTTGTACACTTATGCTAACTAGTCACGAGCCGTTCTTTTTTTTATCTTTAGTTGGGGCACCAGTTTTGGACTCGACGGTTACATCCTGATGTCCAGAAACAAGAACAACCAGTGTGGTATCGCCACCTGGGCTAGGTATCCCGTCGTGTGAAGACATTGGTCCAGCCCACCTAGAGATGTCTTAGGTCAAGTGCGATCTTAAGTGCTGTACTTAATAAATGCATGTCACTACTAATATAATCTATAATATCATCTTAATTACAATGTGTATACAAAAGAAACATTTCTATTAAAATATCTTTTAAAAGAAAAATATAGTTGTTAAAATGTATTCTGTGTAACTCTAAACTAGTTGTTTTATGGAAAGAATGTTTTATTCATTAATAGTGATGAATTAATTAGCCAAATATCTAAACTCTCTAGAAAAATTCCCCACCTATAAGATTTGGAAGAGAAAAACACACAACGATCAACAGCGGTGTAGACTAAATCTTATGTAAAAAAGTAATATAATTGTCAAATTGGGGAGTTCACGGGGAAGGGGGTTAAACCCCTAAAACTCTCCCATCAGGGGAAGATAATGTTAACTTTACTCATGGTCTACTTTCTCCTAAAAGTTGTCTTTCTTTAACCGTATTATTGTATTCGAGATAAATGGTCCGTTGAGGGAGAGATACAACGGGCGCTAGATTGATAGTGTTGTCTTTTTCTCTAAACCAAAACCAAAGCCAATATCACCACGTCAACTTCAGATTTAACCGGAAACGATAAATGAAATTGAAAACGAATTTTTATCCAGAAGGGGGCTCTTGAAAATGTGCAGGGGTAAATACATTTCTCTCGGGAAGGGAAGGCAACACTGGTAAAATTTATATTTTCTATATAATTTTTTTTTCGTTCGGGTGTTGGGGCGGGGGGGGGGGGGGGGTATTAAACGACCGGGGGGGGGGGAGACGGGCTTTGCCCCTACCCAAAGAGATACTAGAAATAAACTACGCGCAAACCACTTTTAAGATTAGAGAAATGGCTTTTTGATTCATTGTTTACTCGATAATCAATTACTTTACGTTGTGTTTTTTTCGTATTACTGTGCATATTTTAACTTTGCTTTAGTTTCCTCTATAGTAAAAGCGTTGCCAAGAGATACATAGATACACATTCAAACAGCGAAACTATTATTATAGAAGAGATAAATGGCCCATTGAGGAAGGATACAACAGACGCTAGTTTGACATTGTTGTCTCTTTTCTCTAAACCAAAACCAAAACAAAAATCCCCACATTTATTTCAAATTGAACCGGAAACAAACAAAATGACGTTGAAAACGTTTTTTTTTATCCAGAATCGGCATTTTAATCAGATTTAAGCTAGATCTACTCGTACTTACTGGACAGTGATACTAAATATAGTCGTAGCCATACCCCTAAACCTCGCACCTTATCTCTATCATGCCAAAAGTCGCATTTAGATTATTATTATAGATGGTGAAAAGAAACTCTAACATACACTGTTTAAAATATTATTTCATTTTTTTTTCAGTTCTGCTTACGTGTTATAAAAACCAACAACAATTTAAATTCACTAACACCAAGATAAACATTCAATACTGCAATAGAGTTTAAATAAAAAGCTTTTATCATTTATCAGATTAGATAAGAGCTAAGAATACATAAAATATAAGGGAGATAATATATTCGATTGATTTAACTGTTAAAGCAAAACTTCACAGTCATATGAAACTAAATTTAAACCTGTTTACTATTATGAATTTAGGTGTTACTATTCGTCGTTTATAATTATATTTTCGGTAAGAAACACTAGTCTCATAACTTCTCATCCTAGTCATAACAACAATGCATGAATTTTAACGAAACTTGGTATTTTAGAGTGTTTACTGTAATCGGAGATATTCGACTGTAAAACTAGGCCTGGAATTTTTTAGGTTGCCATATGACATTCACATGACATATGCACGGGGTTTTAAATAAATGAAAACCTTACCTAATCATCAAACGTATTGATCCATCGAACGTATTGATTATTTTGGTTTTACCATACCCGAACGCATCCAAGGAGTGGTCCTACATTAAAAGGTAATACAGCGATCATTGTGTTCTTTTATTGACTGTAATTCATTCAGTTTTAAAACTTGAGTGATTGAACGAAGTAGTATTTCGTCCTGAAATATAAACTCTTAAAATTATATTATTTTGTATTCCTATCAAACAAAGTTTATCTAGATAGATTCTGCCTTTAGAAGGTTTTGATGTCGATAATTCTTAACAACTTAATTACGGGTTTCTTGCAGTTATTTGAAAAAAAATTAAATCTGATATTTTCTTGAAATATTTTTGTTGATTTAAAAAGCTCGAATCCATTACGCGGGATTCACATTTCCTGTTGATACCTTGTTTTGCAATACATCTTTATTCATGGCTAATAAGAATATACCAATCCTACTCACCATTTTAAACCAATGCTCCTGTAAATAAGATTAAAGGTCATTATTCTGTATCGTAGTATGTACGTTTTATATATACAATGATAAATTTATATAAATTTTGTCCTGTCGTAGCTACTTCATTATCGAAATACTAACAGGCCCGTTTCAAATATGTATTATTATGATGGTTAACATTGTTACTAGCTGTAACGCAAACATATCTATTTACTCCAATAACAATATTGTAACATATGGGTTTCAACTCAAGTACCACATGAACACGCTAGTATTTAGTGTGTTTAGAGTGAAAGAATTATTAACTAGTATAAGTGGAATTTAGTATCGATAAACTGTGACATATTTCACATTTTGCATGCATTTTGTCGTTTGCATCTGAAAACCAGGGGCGGAACTACAGTGCCGCCAGACCCCGCAATGCGGGGGGGGGGGGGCCCACGCCATTTAGGGGCCCATAGCCGACCATAATACATTTTTATGGTTAGAAAAATATAATTTTCTTGCATTCTTGAGTTGACGATATAACTATAAGCTTTTGTAAATAATAAACAGATCTACTACAGTGTTTCTTCCAGACTTTTTTCTCCGGGGGGGGGGGGCACTTGAAATTTTCGGGGGGGGGGGGCGGTAGACTTTCTTCGGGGGAGCGGACACTGTTAAAAGTATATATTTTCTATATAAATAATATAAATTTCATTTCGTTCGGGGGGGGGGGGGGCGGTAGAATTTTTTCGGGCTTCGCCCCCCCCCCCCCCCCCCGAAGAGATGCCTGGAAGAAACTCTGATCTACTACAGTAGTGATGTTATACAGTAGCTAACGCATGCTGTTGCGTAAAAAAAAATATGCCTTAGCTGTAGTGTGAAAGATAGGCAAACGTTCAAAACACTTCCAAGACTTATTTCCCTTTTTTAAATAGTTTAATAGGGGTGCTCATAAGCTCCTTTTGATATATTTGTACTAAACAAATTAAAAAGCAATTACTTCTCTTAATTATTATTAAAAAAAATATACTAAAGAATGACATAGCATAAAAAGGAAATATTTTAAAACAAATAATATAAACAAACGTTCAAAACACTTCCAAGACTTATTTCCCTTTTTTAAATAGTTTAATAGGGGTGCTCATAAGCTCCTTTTGATATATTTGTATTAAACAAATTAAAAAGCAATTACTTCTCTTAATTATTATTTTAAAAAAATATACTAAAGAATGACATAGCATCAAAAGGAAATATGTTTAAAACAAATAACATAAATAAAAAAAAAACATAAAAATAAATATAACACGAGAAACCATTACACATACAAAGCTTTTAAGTTTTATATTCTTTTGACCGGCTAAACAGCAGGGTGTAGGCAAACATGTTGAATAAACTAGTTCTAAAACTGAATTTTTTAAATTCAAAACAAAATAATGCACTCGCACATGACGTGTTGTAATTTATTTAAATTGAAAAAAATAAGAAATTTGTTTTCAAAACCAGATCAGGCCAGAAATGAGGATCCAATGTTTGTATTATGTGTTTGTATATACATTATATATATATATATATATATATATATATATATATATATATATATATATATATATATATATATATATATAGGGGCCCAAAAAATTTATTTGCGGGGTGGCCCTTTTTTTCTAGTTCCGCCACTGCTGAAAACATCCCATTACAAGTACGGCGACTTTTGACATTTTTATTTAACGTCTTGTAACATAGTTTTAGTTTTCTGCTTATTTTATATAACAAAACAGTCACGTTTCCACAAAGTTATTTCAAACCATATTTCTTCCTCATTATCAGATGCTAAGGTTCCTGATTTTCACTCTGGCCATCGCCATGGCCTCGGCCAGCACAGAGGCCAACTGGTGTGTGTTCAAGGCCAAACACAACAAAACCTACACAGGGGACGATGACGTCATTAGATGGTACATCTGGCAATCAAACCTGAAGAAAATCGAAGAACACAACGAGTTGTACGCTAAAGGTCTCAAGAGTTATTACCTCAAGGAGAACAAGTACACGGATATGGTAGGTGTTAAGACTTCCTGAGGTCCCTTCCTGAGGTTAACTCCAGAGGTCCCGTCATGAGGTCACATCCTAGTAAAAAGTAAACCAAACGCTAATTCCATAAAATAATTTTTTTTTAGCTTTTTATGTACAAAAGTTACGAAGATGAGTTTTCATGCCCATTTTATAAACATACATTAAAAATTGCTAAACCTAGTTTACTATCTCGTTACCGACGTTCCATGTATTGATACATAGTTGAAAATATTCTCTTATAGAATTAAACATGAGTTAGTTCAATTCTTTAAAAGCTATTTTAGTTCATTTAAATACACGAGCACACTAATAATCAGTAGTATCTTATAATGTTAAAGATACTATATATTGATTAACGTTATAGAAATTAAAGAAATAATTCAAATACACTGTCTTGCAGACTAGTGAGGAATTCGTTAAAATCATGAACGGAGTTCGAATCCAGAAGACTTTGACCCCCAAAAACTTTAACAGTGGCCTTCTGAAGGACGTTCTGCCTAAATCAGTCGACTGGCGCAAGAAGGGTTACGTCACCAAGGTCATGGACCAGGGTCAGTGTGGGTCATGCTGGGCCTTTGCCGCCAACGGTGCCATCGAAGGTCAGCACTTCAAGGCCACCGGGAAACTGGTGCAGCTGTCCGCCTCCAATCTCATGGACTGTTCACAGAAATATGGTAATAGATTTGATGTAGTGGCAGCGTGTTCGTAGTGGGTACTTTGTAAAACTGGCCAACTGTACATTCGTTAAATATAAAAGGGAGACCTCCGCTACTTTAGAGACAGGGTGAAAGTAGAAGTTTAACAAACACCAAACCCCACTACGCCGTTAAAGAAGAGTACAACCATGCTGAGACAGTGGAAGTAGGGTTTAATTGCTTTTATTTTACTCAGGAAACCAAGGCTGTAATGGCGGCTTTATGGATCAATCATTCCAATATGTGATCGATAACAAGGGAATCGATACAGAAATCAGTTATCCATACAAACCAGAGGTAATGAATAACACATTATATATATATACGAGAGAGAGAGAAAGAGAGAGAGGGAGAGCGTATGGTATACATGGCATAGTAAATTACTAATATGAATCAAACAACTGTTGTAGACTAGAAAATGTGCCTTCAAGCGAGCAACCGTCGGTGCCACAGAAAAATCCTACAAGGACATCGAGTCTGGCAGTGAGAACGCTCTACAACAAGCTGTGGCCACGGTGAGTTGTGTTTTATTAACCGTCAACAGAAAACGTGTTGCAGCATACAGATGGGTTGCTTGATTTCATCCAGTTAGCCACTCAAAATATGCAAACTCATAATAGTAATGCCCCACTCCCCCCCCCCCCCCCTGAAAACGTAAATTCACTCTATTAGTTTAAATAAGGAACACTTGATTTGTAAAAGGCAGTATCTTTAGCCAAAATGCCTTTAAATTCGATGCAAACAATTGCAATAAGTATGAAATTTAACAAGCTTTGGATAGCGTATTGACAAAAATAAAAACAAAAAATCGACACACACACACACACACACACACACACACACACACACAAAATGATCGTATAGTCTGTATAAATGCCTTACTGAAAGCTTAAATAATTAAAACAATTTTTAATTGTAGATAGGGCCTACCTACATGCTAATTTTGTGTTGTTAGGTCGGGCCCGTCAGTATAGCCATGGACGGTAGCCACTCGTCCTTCCAGATGTACGGGGGTGGGGTCTACGACGAGCCTGCCTGCAGCTCCACCCAGCTGGACCACGCCATGTTGGTTGTGGGCTACGACAGTCTGGACGGCAAGGACTACTGGACGGTCAAAAACAGGTGGGTACTGGGGAGACTTGACGGTACTGCGTCACGTAAAGAAGAAATGTACAAGATGCTTGTCGTAGATTAGATTAGCTAACTTCAAAGTTCAAATCAGAAAAAAAAATTAATTTACTGGTAAAACGTTTAGAGTGTAATCATTTGCGCCTTCACTCTATTATTTAAGTATATATATATATATATATATATATATATATATATATATATATATATATATATATATATATATATATATATATATATATATACCAGGGGTTCCTTTAACAAAATATTAATTCAGGCCTTTATTCTATGCAGCACATAGATCCACCTATGCCCTTCATATTTAAAAATTCCGAGAATAAATGTGATGTAATTTTTACAACTTTGTTATCCCAAGTTGGGGAACGACCTGGGGAGATGAAGGTTACATCCTGATGTCCAGGAACAAGAAGAACCAGTGTGGTATCGCCACCATGGCCAGCTACGCCCTGGTGTGAAGTCAACCTGCTCCCCGTGTCTGTTGTCTTGTACGTCCGCACACTTTCAAGCCTAATATTCTAATTTTCATTATCCACTTTGTGACGCTCTAAACATAATTTCATGTACAACTTAAATAAAAATTTTACCAAAATTAAATTGAGTGGAGTTCGTTTACCTTAAAGCAAGCAAGATAAATCTTAATATTAGGATAGTGTGTATGTAAAATTATTAAGGTTACATGGTAATACATATTTGAATGTAAGTGTAAATTTGAAATACAACATGTGAATCAAAGATAGTTTAATTCCCATAAAGCTTACAGAACCAGCTAATGTTTATTTTGTCGTTATGTTAAGCATTGGCTGATGCAGTAGCGTAACAAAGCGATGAGTTACGCGGACCGCACAGTTTGATACCATCCAATGGCGTGACACCCAGTGTTTCTTTCCGATTTTTTAAATCAGGGTCGGTGGGAGTGGGGGTGCATTAAAAATATAGGGGGGGGGGGGTGTGACACTGGGAAAAGAATATATGTTATATAAAAGGTCTATTTCGTTCGGGAGGTGTGCTTTGGGGGAGGGGGACGGGAAGAAAAAATGCCTGAAAGAAACACTGGTGACACTAAAACGGAAAAAATATACATATCTAACCTATTAAAGCTATACACAATTTTATGAAATTATACACACGCATAAATATAAGCTATACATAAGTGTATTAAAAAGTATACACAAGCATAAATATAAGCTACTAGCCGTCCCGGCCAGGCCCTGCCCTGGCTTCTGTGAAAAATCTTTCTGTTAAAGACCAGTACCTGTGTGTTTAGTAATCATCATAAACCCGGCATTGCCCACCCAAACCACAACCAACCAAAACCAAAACTACAAAACGCAAACATAACGCTAACACAATTACAAATACAAACGAAAACAAAAACCTAACAACAAACCCAACCACAACCACAAACACCAATACAAACACAAAGAAAAAACAAACAAAAAAGCAAACGAAAACAAAAAACCTAACAAAAAACCCAACCACAACCACAAACACCAATACCAACACAAAGAAAAAAAACAAACGAAAAAGAAAACGAAAACAAACCAAATCCAAACGCAAAACCAACCACAAACACAAATACAAACCCAAGAAAAAAACACAAACAAAAACGAAAAAAGAAAACTAACCAAATCAAAACGCAATCACTAACGCAAACCCAACCTAAACACAAAGAAAACACTAACGCGAACATAAACGCAAAGTGCTCACAGTCTAGCCCGGGGCGGAATCGCCTGTTTCAGCTTAATAAACGACTATAGTACCCCAACTTATTCATAGTCTTTTGCACTCACTTAAACGAACGCGCCTGTTTCAATTTAATGTACAATTATAATACTCCAAGCTTATCCGTAAAATACCTACAACATTTGCACTTGAACAATCCCCGCTAATTATGAAATTATTTTTTTCCCAACACCAAAACAAAGTAATAAAAAGTAAATTCTTTTCCACTAATGCAATGTTTTTTTATAAAGGGAAGCAATTGTGTTTTCCTAATTTATCAAAGGGAAGTAAGTGCTAAAGGACTAAATAAAGACATAATTAGAATTTTTGTAAAAGATGATATTTTTAAAACTTGTGTTTAATAAACATGCCGAAAATTATCACTTTCAGTTTAAAAAATGAAAATTATTTCCCAAAACTTTCAATATTAATTTTTTAACTCATAAATTTAGACCATAAGGACTCAAATAACCTAACACTTAAATCCATCGAAGTATCCGCGACAAACATTTTACACTTTACATACATAGTACAAGTTACATACAGAATTGAGCTTTATATATTAGATACATATTTGTATTAAAAAGTATACACGCATAAATATAAGCTATACAGAATTGTATTAAAAAGTAGACACAATCATAAATATAAGCTATACACAATTGTATTAAAAAGTATACACACGCATAAATATAAGCTAAATATAAAGTGACATCGTGACACACAACTACATACACACGGTGTCACTCGACTCAATCAACCCCGACCAGGTGACGCCCTAGATGGGGTGGGGGTTGGGTGGTAACTCAGGTTATCACAATCAACCCAACCAAGTGACGCCACTGTTCCGATGTGACCATTATTCACAAAGCCATTTGATTTAGCTCACTTCAGTACCAACAAGACAATATTTCTCTACTACTTTTCTTGCTCCACTAAAGAATTTACCCTGAACTTATTCACTCTTGACCTGACGCCAAGGATTATCTAGGCTGGTCAGGACTTAACTAACAGATTAACGGTTTTAACAATTTGGGAATTAAAATTAGACCAGACGGATTAAAAGTAGGTGAAGCTAAGTTGGCCAGTTATTTGTGTACGAGCGATAGTTTTAGTTTATCAGCTGTTTTATCTGTAGGTCATGTGGCTAAACAAGTAGAAACGTATTTTTAATGTACATCTACCAAATGTATACCAGTGCTGACAGGGGTTGACTGGCTGTGTTCAAGTGGCCCGACAAAATTTACAAGTCCTACCCTCCCCCATTCCAAGATTCAATTTTTATTGTGTATTCCCCCTCCCCCACCCAACCTAAGCATAATGATTATCATCACCTTGCTGGAAATTCACGCGACAAATAATTTAAAAAAAATCAAAGCACTAACAGGCTTTGCACAACACGGCCTTCCAAGATTTTTCTCACTAGACCGGTGGGCCAGACAGCCCAACCTGGATTCTGGCTTAGACAGGTAGGTTTTAAACTATTTGCTACATTTGCCAACATGTTATAAAACTAAGTTATAACAGAGTAGTGTTAAATAACAAAGCTGTTCTACATTCCCACTAATAAAATGTTTTAAAAACGTTAACGAGTTAGCCGGGGTGGATCAGAACCTTCGTTTCCTCTTCACCCCAACCTTCACCCCAACCTTCATCACAACCTTCGACTTCCTCTACGACAAACTCGTCACCGACACTCCTAAAGTTTGGTCGACGCTTTAGACCATTTTTATTTCCCGTTATTACGACATTAATAGATCAGACCCCAGACAAAAGACCCGAATCGATAATAACCCGGACTCATGACTCCACCCGATTTGACCCGATTTTCAAAGGTCACGCCAGCCCGCGTTTTCCGACACAAGTTGTGATAGTGGTCTCCCAAGAAAGCTCTATTTTTTTTGTAGAACTGATTGGCAGAAGTGGTTGCACGTCTGACTTGATGCATGGAAGGCGAGGCGATTTGGTGCCGTGTGGAATGGTAGGTTCGGATCCCGTTCTGTCTTTACTTGGACTATATTCTGTACCTTTTTCTACCCTTGGCGTTGAAATATCACTTTTCTGTTTACATTGCTATTTCAGTTACAACGCCTGCTTCCACCGATCACCCCGATTTAAACTTGAACACACGACCCTAATTAATCAAAGTCATCAATTCTTTTCCGTTAATTATAGGAGCATGTAAAACAGATCAGCGTCAGAAAGCAAATACCCTAACCGTGCCAGTGGGGTAACTATCCGAGGTCATGACCAGGGCCATGTGTTGATTTACTCTTCACTATCTGTTCCTTATTCAGAGTTTCTTCCAGGCATCTTTTCGGAAGAAAGTCTACCGCCTCCCCCCCCCCCCCAACGAAATGGAATTTATATAGAAAATATATACTTTTAACAGTGTCCGTCCCCCCGGAAACTGTTGAACGCCCCCCCCCCCCCCAAAAAAAAATATATCAAGTGCCCGCCCCCCCCCCCCCTCTGGAGCATCCAGTCTAGTTATGTTTAGGTATCGAAGTTTGATATGTGTTGTGAATGTAGTAGATGGGCGTTCTCTCGTTGAAAAATCTTTAGTTTTTTAGGAATCTATATTACCACTCTTAAAGTATGAATATATAATATTAAATATGATGGAACTTTTGACTAACTGAAATATATTGTTTTTCTTAAATTATATTTTTAAAAATATTTAATCAATAATTCTAGCAATCTAGAACAGGGGTCGGCAACCTTTTGAAGCGGAAGAGCCAAAAGTTACAATTTTCAAAATTTCCCTGGTTTTAAAGAGCCACTGACATTTTTTTATTTCAAATATTTTATTATTTTATTAAGATTATTAGTATATGTGCAAGGAGCTGGAGAGCCGCATCTTGATATCAAAAGAGCCGCATGCGGCTCGCGAGCCGCAGGTTGCCGACCCCTGATCTAGAACATACACGTGTATTAAGGGGATCCAATATTTAATTAAAAAGAAAGTGTAGTAGTATATTAAAATGTATGTCATCAGAATTTAGACTTTTAAACAAAACCTACAGTTAAGTATTTGATAAGGTAAAATATATTGTTTTTACAAGGTTACATAGCTAATATAAAATATATATTATATTTTATACGTAATGAAATTCCAATGGTTTTACTGTGTTTTTCAAGCATGTCTTAGTTACACTTGGTTAATTTAGCTACTCTTGTGAAAGTTATTTCCCTTGAATTAAATTTTGGTATTTGGATTTTCAAATGGGAGATAATTCGTTGCGTAACTTACATTCATTTCAAATTCCTGCACCTTAGGTTGACCGCTTACATATAAATATAACTTTAAGTTATTATTTGCTATTGTAAACATTATATAGAGCTTAAGTCCTAAACAAAATAGTTTGGTAGGTTTTTTTAGCATTATCAAGTTGAAAAACAAATACATCAGTAGCCGATGTAGATTGCAGTACTTAATGACATGCTGTCTTAGTCGTAATTTTAAAAAAGTCTGGAAGAAACACTGTCCTTATTTTGTATAGAATGTAGCACATTTCAAAATATTGATGAGAACTTCACAAATCTGTATGTAAATATCGAGAATTCATGGTAGATTTAGCCCATACAAAATTATATCATCTCCTTACACACAAAAACGTAGCGACCAATTGGTCAAGGCGCCCCGGTCATACAAATATTTTTTATTTTTTAAACTATATTGTGCTAAAACGTATGTCTCAGACGAAAATCCAAAGTCTTAATATTCTAATCCTGCATTAAAAACACAAGATCAAAGCGGATATTCAAATTAGTGAAGGTTGGTTAGAAGTCAAGGGATAATCCAGTGGGCCTAACCTAATCCGTTTACATTTGCTTGAGGGAAGATTATCTGATCTCGTGTAGAAAGTTCACAATTAAAAAATAGAATGTACTGGAGAAGAATGTCCGTTCAGGTAATTTTGTTTCGTGTTTTTAGTCCGGTAACCCGACTTGTCTACGGGAGACGGATATAGTAAGGAGACATCAAGACAGGGTTGTGTTGAGAACATCAACACAATATGAGGCAACACAAATATGATATTTGTGATTCATAAAATACGATGACAAAGTATGACATTTAACAATAAATTCTAATTTTTACAAGCTTTTATTTAACTTGCTTCCTCTGTCGTCAGTCGTCAGTCTGTCTAGATCGAAACGCTGGAGTGAAAATTCAACCACTTCTACTTGACCGATACGATTCACAGTTGGCACGTGGGTCAAGACATGAAGACAATGCAATCTGAAACTAAATTTGACTTAATTGGATGCCTAATTAATTTTTTATGAATTAATTAAAATTTTGACCGAATTAGTAGGCATGTCTATCCAACCACACCACACACGTCATCACGTTCAATAGCTGCGCCATCACTTTCAATGGCTGCGCCATCACGTTCAATAGACGCGCAATGGTTTTTAGTCATGTAACTATTGTAAAAAAAACATGCAATGTACTTTATAGTTATTTAAATAGTAGTCTATAATTTATTTTCTACTTTTTAGTGCATTATTACATAAAAGCTTGTTATTAAAACGTTTTTTATGAAATTTTTTTGTAACATCATCAAAATATATCTGAGACATCTACAAAATATGACATTTAACGTATAACAAAATATGATTTTTGGGACATCAACAAAACCTGATGCTTGAAATATCAACACAATACGACATTTGCGAATTTACGGCATCTACATAATGTAATATTTAAGACCAACAAATGCTATTTCTTAAAACAAATAAAATGTGATATTTATTAAGACCAACAAAATGTAATATTTAAGACCAACAACATGTAATATTTAAGACCAACAAAATGTAATATTTAAGACCAACAACATGTAATATTTAAGACCAACAAAATGTAATATTTAAGACCAACAAAATGTAATATCATCATCGAAATGAAAATTTCAACATCAACAAGTCATACTGTGACTATGTGTACACATATAACACACATACCCGCTCACCAGCCGTTTCTGGTTTTTATATCCTGACCTTCTTATAAGATGTACATAATCTGTGAATGATCTTTCATTGTCGAGATCCTAAGTCTGATACCATAGTGCAGGGGTCGGCAACCTTTTGAAGCGGAAGAGCCAAAAGTTACAATTTTCAAAATTTCCCTGGTTTTAAAGAGCTACTAACATTTTTTTATTTCAAATATTTTATTTTTTTATTAAGATTATTAGTATTTGTTCAAGGAGCTGGAGAGCCGCATCTTGATATCAAAAGAGCCGCATGCGGCTCGCGAGCCGCAGGTTGCCGACCCCTGCCATAGTGCACTTGAAAAATTAAATTCAAATCATTTCAGTTTTTCTTGCATTTAAAGCTAAGAAATAATTCTATTGTGCTTCGTTTTTCTTAACCCTGAAGTAAAAAATTGGGATTGTTCGACTTAGTTTTTAAAATATTTGATCCCCTTAATTTAGAACATGAATTATTTATAGACCGACTTTAGCCTCAATAAAAGTTAGGCTCTGTTTTGCAAATTGCTCGAAAAAAATCTCCGTCAATTTCTGATACAATCATCGAGAGACTGGCTGTGACGTTTTGTTGATGAGTTCGTTGATCTGGTTATCCTTTGGTTTCAGGTAGGCAGACACGTCTTGCCGTAAGGTAAGTATAAAAGGTAGGTGGTAATGAATCCACGGTAAGATGACTGGAAACGTCCGGAGCACTTTGTTAAAGTGGGTATATGGTTTATTTTAATTTGGATTCAATCCTTTGTGTGGCGAAGATCGCGAAACTTCATGCACATTCTTATCAATAGACTTAACTATCAATAGACCTAACTATCAATAGACCTATCAATAGACCTAACTATATTTGAACCTTTGTATTATTTGGTGTAAACAGAAAACGGAAAACAGATCGATCAATTCTTTATATTTAATTTTGCGATGCACGTTAGACTGAGATATTTAATACAAGGCGAATAAATCATGGGATTACTAAATGAATTATTTTTATTTAATACATGAGTCGGATTGAGCATTGTCCATAGTTTTAAGGTACATTTCTCTCGTAATTAACACAGATTGTCATGGTGATTATGGCATTCGTTCCTGGAATTATGGAGTTTGATGTTTTCTGATTATAATTCATCCTTTGATCTTGTCGTAGAGAGTTCCCATTAAACTGGATGTAAAAAAGGTTCACCATTACAAAAATAACTGGCATAAAATATTCACCAAAAAGGATTTTCCTGTGAATTATCACAACATCAAAAATTCATAAAAAACGTTTTAATAACAAGCTTTTATGTAATGATGCACTAAAAAGTAGAAAATAAATTATAGACTACTATTTAAATAACTATAAAGAAAAGCGTGGGTCACTTTAGTATCTATTGGATACCTTTACTAATGTTAAGGAAGACACCCACGCTTTTCTTTATAGTTATTTAAATAGTAGTCTATAATTTATTTTCTACTTTTTAGTGCATCATTACATAAAAGCTTGTTATTAAAACGTTTTTTTATGAATTTTTTTTCAGTACTTTACATGTTTTATTTACAATAGAGTTACATGACTAAAAACCATTGCGCGCCTACTGAACATCACGTTCAGTAGGCGCGCAATGGTTTTTGGAGGCAGCCATTACGTGATGGCGCAGCTATTGAAGGTGATGACGCGTGTGGTGTGGTTGGCTAGACATGCCTACTAATTCGGTCCAAATTTTAATTAATTCATAAAAAATTAATTAGGCATCCAATTAAGTCAAATTTAGATTCAGATTGCATTGTCTTCATGTCTTGACCCACGTGCCAACTGTGAATCGTATCGGTCAAGTAGAACTGTCCGAATTTTCACTCCTGCGTTTCCGTCTAGACTGACGACTGACGACTTACGACAGACAGAGGAAGTGAGTTAAATAAAAGCTTGTAAAAAGAAGTCCCCTCTTTTATGAAAAGAATAAAAAATGCAAGTTTACTATATTATGTGTTTAGGTTTGTTAACTCTAGTAACAGTCTTGTTGGGTTCGTCAAATGTCGGCATCTCATTTTTCCTGACAGATGCTGACACTTGTGGCTGTAGTTGTATCCGTGTGCCTGGTCACCGGCAGTGTGGAGAAGGACTGGGCCAAGTTCAAGGCCAAGTACCGGAAGAACTACACCGGCACGGAGGATGGAATGAGGATGAACGTCTGGCAGCGGAGCCACAAGACCATCAGTGACCACAACAAGATGTACGCTCGCGGACAGAGGAGCTACTTCCTCAAGGCCAACAAGTACTCAGACCTGGTGAGACGTTTGACCTATATTAGACCTGGGGGTGGGTCGGGTTTTATTTTTTCTGACGTCAAAGGGTTAAACAGTAGTTGGATTTTCTGATAAATAGTCAAAATAATAATTGACTCAAATTAGTGCTTCAGTTTTAAGACAATGGAAAATATTGAAATGAAACACAAACTCGAATTAGTTTAATGCTACAATTTAATTAATAGCTGTTATCTACTTTAAAAAAAGATGTTAATGGCAAGAGACTTTAGACATCCGTACGACAATGAAGAAATAATATTTTAGTATATTTTTTAATATGGGTTATTTAATATAAATTGTAAAAAACTTGAGACGCCATATAACATTACACGGGAGTCGAGGCATCACATCTGGGATATAAGCTCAGGTAAAAAGGTAACCCGACTAATAACCATTTTCAATGCTATAATCCATGTATATGAATCGAAAACTTGAATTTCTTATATTTTCTTAAAATAATTCGTGAAGACTGTTCAGGAAACGTTGATTAAATATTTCCATAGAAGTTAAAAACTTGCAGAGTAATTAGAGTGGTTAGCTTTGTTGGACTTGACTTTAAAATCCAGTTGGGGAGGGGGGAGTGGCGATGAGAAAGGGGGGGGGGGCATGCATACATTTTGAAACAAATACATTTGGTAACAAGCCTGATGACTCAAAATTTTCATCAAGTTTGATTAATCATTCTTTTAAATCAACTTTTCCTGTAGACCAACGAAGAATTTACAGCTCTACTCAAAGGTTTGGGTCAGAATACATCACTCCCAGCCGCAAGAGGCCGCACATCATCACGGGCGCTGACGGCGTCTCTCCCGGCGGCCGTTGATTGGCGCAAACAAGGTTTCGTCACAGCGGTCAAAGATCAAGGTCAGTGCGGGTCATGCTGGGCTTTCTCGGCGACCGGGGCCATCGAGGGTCAGCTGTTCAACACCACGGGAAAGTTGATCAGCCTGTCGGAGTCCAACCTGGTCGACTGCTCAAGGCCGTGGGGTGAGTTCACGTTAGACTGGACAACATTTATCTACACTCTAAAACTTCACATTAGACTGGACAACATTTATCTAAAATCTAAGAGTTCACATTAGACTGGACAATATTTATCTACAACCTAAGAGTTCACATTAGACTGGACAATATTTATCTACAATCTAAGAGTTCACACTAGACAGGAAAACATTTATGTAAAATCTGAAAGTTCACACTAGACTGGACAACATTTATCTACAATATAAGAGTTTACACTAGACTGGACAACATTTATCTACAATCTAAGAGTTCATGCTACACTGGACAACATTTATCTACAATCTAAATTTCAATAAACCCTTAACCCTTGTTATGGTCGGTGGGGCACCACATAATTGTGTGTCTGGGTCTAAGTGTCTCATGGAGGCACCCACCCTTCTCCATGCCTAGAACAACATTTATACTTCAGGGCAAACCAAGAACGTTAATTAATAGAGTTCAATGCTAAACTATTTAAAAAAAAATTCATATAGTATTTTTGAATTAAAATAAACGATGATTTATATGATTATTTAGCAAACAAAGACAGCGCATACACTTGCTTTTAATTGTAAAACATTTTATCTATGAAATGTAGTCATAAGCTATTTAAAAATTCAATAGCAAAGTAAAAAGTAATGTATGTTACGGCTTTATACGTCGATTCTAGAAAACAGAACGCTAAACATTGTGTCAAAATAATGCGTCTTGGTATGGTTAAATATGCCACAGTTCAGAGGCGTAGCGAGGGGGGGGGGGCGGGGGCTGCGGACCGCACCGGGTGACACCATTTAGGGGGGTGACACCAAGGCAATAAATAGCAAAATATATAGAGAAAAAACTTGAGGGGGAGGGGGTGCAAATCGAAAGTTTGGAGGGGGAGGGGGTGCAAATCGAAAACTTGAGGGGGGTGCAAATCGAAAGTTTGAGGGGGGTGCAAATCGAAAATTTGAAAGTTTGTCCCCGGGAAGGGTCGCTACACCTCTGGGGGGTGACACCATTAAGTGCCGCACCGGGTGACACCCGACCTTGCTACGCCACTGCCACAGTTATCTAAAGTCCTATTATCTTTCTTACATTTCCTTCAAACGCAGCATACAATAGGATAAGTAAAACAAATGGTAAGCTTAAAGTAAGAATAAAGGCTTATAGTTATTTGATTAAAACACTTTATTTCATGCATGTATATTAATTATTTGGTCAATAAATACAAATAAAGGTGTGCAAAATGTGGTAATTACATACTTGCACTTACAGGTAATCTAGGCTGTAGTGGTGGGTTTATGACCCAAGCTTTCCAATACGTCATCGACAACAAGGGTATCGCTACACAGGCCAGCTATCCTTACGTTGCTAGGGTGAGTCTTTGTTAGCGTCAGACGTTGCTAGGGGGAGTCTTTGTTAGCGTCAGACGTTGCTATGGTGATTCATTTCTAGCGTCAGACGTTGCTAGGGTGAGTTGTTGCTAGCGTCAGGCGTTACTAGGTTGATTCTTTTCTAGCGTCAGACGTTGCTAGGGGGAGTTGTTGCTAGCGTCAGACGTTGTTAGGGTGATTCTTTTCTAGCGTCAGACGTTGCTAGGGTGAGTTGTTTCTAGCGTTAGCCGTTGCTGATGTTTGTGGTTATTAGGGTGAAATCAATGTTTAACCGTCTTGAAATTTATTAGTTTATCATTAACTTATGTAGTAAATCCACTGGCAATCAATACAATTTTTAAATAGAGATAACAATGCGCCAATGAATTGCCCCAAATTTGACTTGATTGAACCTTGCCTACAGGACAGAACCTGCGCCTTCAGTCGAGCAACCGTAGGGGCGAGGATCAAATCTTTTGTCAATGTAGCCAGGGGCAGTGAGAGTGCTCTCATGCAAGCCGTGGCCACTGTAGGTATAGAAACTACTGGGTTTAAGGTCGACACACTCATGACACATTCCTAAGCCAACACATTCATAAACCAATACATTAATTAACCTACACCCCTCGTCCCAGTAATACTTGTGAATTATGCATTACTAACTATGCCTGTCAGATTACGAAGGATGAAACCCCCCCCCCAAAAAATCAGCAAAAAACAACTGACGATAATGTATTTACATATTTAATATTTAAAATATTTACAATACTTTTCCAACTGGTTTGTAACTCAATCTCATAGCAGCTATATTAAATACATATTATTACTCTCTCTTTGTTAGCTTAACAATTCACCTATTCTCATCCTTACTATTGAATCATCTACTTGACTCAATGCTGATTAATTCAATTCATTCAAAGCTAGCCTCATCACATAGGTTGGACCAGTGAGTGTTGCTATCGATTCCAGCAGGGATTCGTTCCGCCTCTACGGGGGCGGGATCTATGACGACGTGACGTGCAGCTCCAACCGACTCGACCACGCCGTTCTGGCTGTTGGATATGACACGAGTGCCGGCAAGGATTACTGGATTGTGAAGAACAGGCGAGTTGGGTTCAGTTCGTTAACTTTTAATTAACTTAATTAGACAAGGTAGATTGATTAAAGGCTGCTACTTTGATGAAAATAGTTTCGGCAATCGACTACTGGATTGTAAAGAACATGAAAGCGAGGTTCAAATGATTAAGTGCAATTTGATGTACATTCAGACAGAGTAGATTGGTAAACGTAAGCACCTTGATGAATAAAATACATAAAAAAAACTTTTTAAAAAACCACGTTTTTCTTGTGGACTAAAAAGTAGAAAATAACTATTTACATACATATGATGACAAAAAACGTGGGTACGTTCACCATCAAATTTCCCGACCCATCTGCCCGACCCACGTTTTTTTGTCATCAAATAGATGTAAATAGTTATTTTCTACTTTTTAGTCCACAAGAAAAACGTGGTTTTTTAAAAAGTTTTTTTTATGTATTTTATTTTCTCCTTTTTAGTCCGTTGCTACACATGAAAAACGTGGTTTTTAAAAAAAGTTTTTTATATAGTTTATTTTCTACTTTATCCAATGACTTGATTAAGTATGACTTGACTAAGTGTTTATAAATACACGGACTAAAAATCTTGAGCGACCAGGATTCGAACCTGGGTTGTCGCGTCCACAACGCGAAGTACTAACCACTATACGATCACGGCCAGCGCGCTCACATCGATTGGGGCCGAAGTAACTGTGTCAATAGGCCTTCAGTCTTGTCGGTATCTTTAGAAATCATGTCCTCAATTTTATGGTCCTTAGGGCGTAATTAAATTAAGCTAATTACGGTCTCTAATTGCTAGTTTTTATGATTGCATCTGAAATTGTTAGGCGAAAGTAGCCTGCATGCCAAATTTCAGATCTATAGAGCAATCAGAAGTGGGCTAATTTTCGATGTCAATTTTAACAACAAACACATCCACAAACGCGAAGCTGAGTTAAGAAAAACGTGTTAAAAATAGTTCTTTTGTTTCTATGGTAACGACAGAGGATATTATAAGACAGATCAACAGTTTTAAATGGTTTACACCGCCCCTCCCCTTTTCCTGTGTTTCTTACATATATTTTTCTACCGGAAGGGGGGGGGGGGGGGAATAAGGGCGCACTTGATGTTTTCTGGGGGGGGGGGACGGGACCAAATTCTCCGTCTAAGGGAGGGGCGGACACTTTGTAAAAGTACATGTTTTCTATATTTCTATATAAGTTTCGTTTTGTTCGGGGGGGGGGGGGGGAGGGGGGGGGGGGTGAAGGGGTGGTAGAAGGGTGGGAGGGTGGGGGTGGGGGAGGAGGTTGGTAGACTTTCTTCCCCCAAGAGATGACCGGAAGAAACTCTGCCCATTCCACTGTATGTGTTGTTATATTTCAGAGTACCTACAAATAATTAAATTGGAAATCAACTCAAGGCTATCAATCTTTTTAATATAATTATCTACCTAAAGCAATATGTTATTAAAAAATAAATCAATATATAAGTAGTTAATATTATGTATGCTTATTGGTGATTGAGATTACATTATCTATACACATTAATAATCAAACATATTTTATCTTGGTACAGTTGGGGTAAAACCTGGGGCCAGTCAGGCTACATCTTCATGTCCAGAAACAAGAACAACCAATGTGGTATAGCCAGTCTGGCGAGCTACCCACTCATGTAGTTTACAGAGAAGTTGATGAAATCAGTGTAGAATAGCGTGCTACCCAGTCATGTAGTTTACAGGGAAGTTGATGAAATCAGTGAAGTATAGCGAGCTACCCAGTCATGTAGTTTACAGAGAAGTTGATGAAATCAGTGTAGTTTAGCGTGCTACCCAGTCATGTAGTTTACAGAGAACTTGATGAAATCAGTGAAGTATAGCGAGCTACCCAGTCATGTAGTTTACAGAGAAGTTGATGAAATCAGTGTAGTTTAGCGTGCTACCCAGTCATGTAGTTTACAGAGAACTTGATGAAACCTGTGGTATAGCGAGCTACCCAGTCATGTTGTTCACTAAGTAGATCAAGACAGTTATTTGCCATAGAATCCAGAATTTGACATCACTAAAAGTATTTTCAAATTTGCCCAAATGACAAATAAACATCTGTGTTCCTCACATTTTGTACTCTTAATGTCTGCGTGGATGGAAGTAAAAAAAATGTTGTTTTGAGGAAACAGGCGTTGAGTCTTTATAAACAGTGGCGTAGCGAGGTGGGGTGTCATCCGGTGCGGCACTTAATGGTGTGTCACCCCTCAGAGGCGTAGCGACCCTTCCCGTGGACAAACTTTCAAATTTTCGATTTGCACCCCCCTCAAGTTTTCGATTTGCACCCCCCTCTCTCAAACTTTCGATTTGCACCCCCCCCCCCTCAAGTTTTCGATTTGCACCCCCCTCAAACTTTCGATTTGCACCCTCCCCCTCAAGTTTTTCTCTATATATTTTGCTATTTTTTGCCTTGGTGTCACCCCCCTAAATGGTGCCACCAGGTGCGGTCCGTCCCCCCGCCCCCCCGCTACGCCTCTGTTTATAAAGTTACATTAATTTATCTATCATGTAAGTCAAAACGAAGTGTATTCTTCGTTAACACAGATATTAGATGCGCGAGTAGGATCTATTAACTACACATACAACTTAGGTACGGAAACCTGTTTAAAAAACTTGGAGCTGACTTAGAATGCGGATCTAGGTGGCAGAATAGCTTTGTATGATAATTAGCTAGAGCTGTTTCTATGTAGGTATATCGCATAGGTTATAGCCTACTTGTATTTGTGTGCGTCAGTATAATCGAGATTGTGTGGATGCTGCGTTTTATAGCTGGAGTACAGTAAATTTGAAATTCCGATTTACTTGTGTTAAAAAAGGTTGGTATAGCGATCGTGTCAGCAACATCTGCTGTTGAACACAACATTTTATTCCTTGGATTAATACAACTTTATGTTCCTGTGTTCAACTGAAAGACAATACAAAATAAAGACAATACAGTACGTTTTAGTAGGAAGCCTTTGTAGAAACATCAGTGTTTCTAACATTTATGTAACAGTTGCAGTCGAATCAAGTAATTGTAAGTAACAGAGAATAGTGTACCAACTATTGATATATATATATATGTATATATATATATATATATATATATATATATATAGGCTATATATATATATATATATATATATATATATATATATGCATATATATATTTATTAATTTATGTACACATAACTATCAATAGTTGGTACATATTTTATTTTTATATAACTAAGTTGAAAACTAGTGTGCCATGTAGATAAATTGATTTTTTACTTTTCCCTTTTGTTTATGAAAGGGTTTTGTCGAAGCATCAGATTTTTTTTTCTAACAAAAATGCTAAATTTAAATTTTCATTTTGACAACTGCCATACACTACTGATACGGTCGGCAACTGTAATCGTTGGCTAAATTAAATCAGGCGCGTCTGCCGACGAATCGGGGGTGACGGGGGGGGGGGGGGCAGTTTTTCTTCCAGACTTTTTTCTGCGGGGTGGGCGGTGAGCACTTGAAATTTTCGGGGGGGGGGGGGGGAAGGGCTGACACTGTTAAAAGTATATATTTTCTAAATAAATGCCATTTCGTTCGGAGGGGAAGGGGCGTCCCCGTCCCCCCCCCCCCCCGAAGAGATGCCTGGAAGAAACTCTGATCGGATGACTTGCAGGAAGCCGGGTTCCTCCTTGAGTCCACATACAAGAACACAGGAACAATGTGCAGGCAGGCTGAATATACAGCTGTTATAACAATAAAGTATCGGTTCTTTAAACTGAAATACAAATTTAAAAAATCAAAAACAAAAATTGTATAAGAATTATTTTAAAAAAAAAACAGTATAAAATGACTTTAAAAAAAAAACAACAGTATAAGCATGACTTAAAAAACCAAAAACAAAGAAGTCGCAAGTGTTTTAGAAAAAATCTTTTCTTCATTTGATCACCTGATCGATAGACATACGTTGGATGGCAATGAAAGCAAACGTTTGACAACATAAAAACTTGATGGTCTGTATTGATTGTACACACACGGTTGGTTGTTCGTGTCCTAACACAGAGACGTGTGTATGGCCACTCGGGGTGTGCTCTGACCTAATTGACTTGTTAATTGTATGTGTTGAGATAATACAGCTACTGTAGTACGTATACTTGCATTTCAACAAATACCATACCATACCGCAACTATTGGTTATGATTTTAATCAAAACAATCTAGGAAAAAAATGCAGATAGAAATATACAAAGTAAATTAAAATTTGCAACTAACAGTACTTAACGGTGCACTAATCAGTACAAGTACAGGTGAAGTAGAGCAAGAACACGGTTCTTTACAAAGCCTCTACCAAGATTACACATTGCAACCAGGGTTTCTTCCAGTCATCTCTTCGGGGGGAGGGGGGGGGGGGGGCTATAGACCCCCCCCCCCCCGAACGAGATGGAATTTATATACTAAACATATATTTTTACTAGTGTCCGCCGCCACCCCCCCCCCCCGGTAAATGTAGACCGCCCCACCCGAAAATATCAAGTGACCCCTACCCCCGCCCCGGAGAAAAAAGTCTGGAAGAAACACTTATTGCAACATGGAGACTATAGGTTTTGTTTTGTTTTCATTGAAATCCAAAAGCTTGCTATATTAGACATAGAACAGATTTTCTCAAATCATCTTTTTCTTCATAAATTTTGCCTGTACTACAAAAAACGCAGTGTATTTTTAGCTACCGAGTTGGTATTCGAATCGCCTTAGGGGCTTCACGCCTGTTTGATTTCGGAGTTTTCTCCCCTACATGGGTAGCTGTCAGTAGCAGACGAGCCTCGTCAGCCTGACACAACTGATTCTAATCTTCACAGGTAACGTCCTGTCCCTTGGGTCCATCACCTGTAAGGAGAGAGGGGGGAGGGGGGGGTGTCTGATACATGGGCAAAATCTGGCTCTTATTAACTTAGGGCCCAGTCTTTGTTCTTGAATTTCTAATCAACATTCATCCAATGGTATATTTCAGCGGTTCTTAACCTTTTCGGAAGTACCGAACCCCACCAGTTTCATATGCGCTTTCACCGAACCCTTTTAAATTATATTATTCCATGCACTGAAAAAATCCGATCGTGAATTATACGAGTCGGGTGTGTGTCTTGATCTCCGCTGAACCCCTAATACTGACTCACCGAAACCCTGGGGTTTGATTGAACCCAAGTTTAGAATCACTGGTCTATTTTTATGTGGAATCATATTACTACAAAATTCGACAAAGTTTAATATACATCGGAGGTTTAAAACAAAGCAGAGAGTATATTGTCAGATTGTAAACATCAGTATTCACACTTGTGACGACACACTCACAATGGAGTTTTTGTGCATGAGGCAAAATATTAGAAATATAAAACAAGCCTTACGTTTTTCTGAATGTGTTAAGTTTACACAAATCATCAATCTGCTGATGATTTAAGTCTGCTGGTCTAATTTCTCTAAACAGATGCTGCAGTTGGTGACCTTGGTCTTGACCTTCACTGCCATCTCGGCCAGTATCCTCAACGACTGGCTGACCTTCAAGGCCAGGCACGGCAAGGTGTACACAGGTGCCGAGGACACCAGGAGACGCGGGCTCTGGCTGAACAGTGTCAAGGCCGTCTTGGACCACAACAAGTTGTACGAACGTGGGCTGGTGGGCTACTACCTGCAGGTCAACCAGTACGCTGACCTGGTGAGTATTGTAGTCTGGTGAGTTGATGGGCTTGTGGGCTGGTGGTGTGGTCTGGTGGGCTACTACCTGCAGGTCAATCAGTACGCTGACCTGGTGAGTATTGTGGGCTGGTAGGTTGGTAGGCTTGTGGGCTGGTAGGTTGGTAGGCTTGTGGGCTGGTAGGTTGGTAGGCTTGTGGGCTGGTAGGTTGGTAGGCTTGTGGGCTGGTAGGTTGGTAGGCTTGTGGGCTGGTAGGTTGGTAGGCTTGTGGGCTGGTAGGTTGGTAGGCTTGTGGGCTGGTAGGTTGGTGGGCTAGTGGGCTGGTGGGCTCCTACCTGCAGGTCAACCAGTACGCTGACCTGGTGAGTATTGTGGGCTGGTGGTCTGGTTGATTGGTGGTCTGGTTGGTTGGTGGTCTGGTTGGTTGGTGGTCTGGTGGTGTGGGCTGGTGGGCTACTACATGCAGGTCAATCAGTACGCTGACCTGGTGAATATTGTGTGCTGGTGGGCTAGAGGGCTGCTGGTCTGGTGGTCTGGTAGGTTGGTGGGCTGGTGGTTATGGTGGTCTGGTGGTCTACTAAAAGTACATTGACGTGATTAACATACTTACATGCCTTTGATTTGGTCAGGAGGTTTTTGAGCACCTAAACATGTAAAGCAATACTCGGAAAAAAAGTTATTTTTTTAGCTTTAGAAGATACCGTGCATAAGATTTTAGAAATGTACAATATGAATTAATACGGTTTTTGGGCAGAACTTTCCAATTAAGGGCATGGGCGGGTTATGAAAACCAAAATAACCAAAATGCTTATGTCTAAACCTAATGCCATCATATTTAGCATATAATTATAAATCTAATAGCTAAGTCTAGAAAGAAAAAAAATGGCTGAAAATGTCATGCCGTTGCCATGGTGATGGCGGCTATCTTGGATTTTATTTACCATTTTAACCGCCCAAAAAAACAACTAACACTATTTAAAATAACTTTGTTACTACAATCAAAGTAAACTTATTTTGGCAAACTATTTTTCTTTAAATAATGAAATAAAAAGAAGCAAGAACGTCAGATTTGTCAATGGTAAGGATTCCTTAGAAAAAAAAACCGCTATAACGTTCAATGATTTTAAAAAAATGTAAGAGAGCATAAGGGACCTCGTACAACACAGGTATAAGGAAACAACAACATACATAGTTGAGGTTATGGTGCAACTGTACAACACGTCTGTGTAATGTCATCTATTTTCACAACCAACCGTGACCTCCAACCTCCAACCTCCATCCACCCATACCAACCTCATTTCTCCCGCTCACAACACACCCGCTGTCACTCGACCAGTCGCTTCCCTTGTTACCCTCGTTCACTCCACACAACATCACACACGTCGATACACCCGGCCTCTCGATTATGTACCGTATACACAAACACACATGTACACACACCAAACACACACACTGCACACACTGCACACACATATCACACACCTCACACACACGCGCGTATACACTTTTCATACACTTTTCATACACATAACATCGCCACAACATTGATAAGACCTTGTATTAAAATATTTCTAGTCGAAAAACATATATCTTTTCAAATTCTAAAACTTTTTTTAATGTTTTCATTAATTAAGTCTTTTACGTTTTCCAATATTTTGTAGTCAGACGCTGAATATGCCATCTTGCTCCAAGGTCTCACCCCGCTTGTCTCTGAACAAAACTTCACTTCAACGACACTGACAGCAGACGTCACTACACTTCCTGGGACAGTTGATTGGCGCAAAAATGGCTACGTCACACCGGTCAAAAACCAGGGTGCATGTGGGTCATGCTGGGCTTTCTCGGCCACCGGGGCCATCGAGGGTCAGCTGGCCAAGACCACAGGGCAGCTGGTCAGCCTGTCCGAGTCGAATTTAGTCGACTGTTCCAGGCCATGGGGTGAGTTGGTCTTTTGCAAGAAACATGTATTTACACACTGGTGTGTTTTAAGAAACGCATGTATTTACAAATTGGTGTTTTGTTAGAAACACATGTATCTACGAATTAGTGTGTTGTAAGAAACACATGTATCTACACACTGGTGTGTTGTAAGAAACACATGTCTCTACACATTGGTGTGTTGTAAAAAAACACGTGTATCTACACACTGGTGTGTTGTAAGAAATACTTGTATTTTACACATTGGTGTGTTGTAAGAAGCACATGTATTTACACACTGGTGTGTTTTAAGAAACACATGTATGTACACATTGGTGTGTTGTAAGAAGCACATGTATTTACAAATTGGTGTTTTGTTAGAAACACATGTATCTACGAATTAGTTTGTTGTAAGAAACACATGTATGTACACACTGGTGTGTTTTAAGAAACACATGTATCTACACATTATGATAGTAAGCTAAAGTAAGCTATCGACCGCATGGCCCCTCAAGCAGAAACAACTTGCAAAGACACCTTGTCGTGTTCTAGCTAGATCTCAGGTAGCAAAATCTCTCAATGTACTTAATCCAAATAATTAGGTGGTAAGCGGATGGTCTAATTAACAGTATCCACCCGTAAGCTACTGAAAGGCAACTTATCTCTAGAGAGATAATCTTTCTGCTTTTTTAAAAACAGGTAATAATGGCTGTAATGGTGGCCTAATGATCAATTCCTTCCAATACGTCATTGCCAACAATGGTATCGCTACCCAGGCCAGCTATCCTTACGTGTCTAAGGTGAGTCGTTGTTATGGTAAGTCGTTTCTAGGGTGAGTCGTTGTTAGGGTGAGTCGTTGTTAAGGTGAGGCGTTGCTAGGATGAGGCTGGGCATGACTGGGCTGAAGAGATGACTGATTTGCCCATTAGATATACATGAATTACCCATTTGACATACATGAATTGCCCAAATCTAACATATAAAACGACTGAACTATATCACAGGAGAGTAACTGCACCTTCAGTACAGCAACGGTCGGGGCTAGGATCACAGCCTACAAAAAAGTTGCTCTCGCCAATGAGAGCGCCCTCACACAGGCCGTGGCTACGGTAAGGAGTTCGTTTCAAAACCACCGCTTTACTCCTCTCAAAAACACCGCTTTACTCCTCTCCACCGTATCACTCCTTTCAAAAAACCGTATCACTCCTTTCAAAACCACCACTTCACTCCTTTCAAAACCACCACTTCACTCTTTTTAAAACCACAGCTTCACTCTTTTTAAAACCACCGCTTCACTCTTTTTAAAACCACCGCTTCATGTCTCTCAAAACCACCGCTTCACTCTTTTTAAAACCACAGCTTTACGCCTGCAAACGTTTTCTCATCTACATATATTAACCCCCATCCATCCACCATCCCCCTCCCCCCCCCCGCCCTGCCCCATTATATTTGTCTTTCCTCTGATCTTTAAAATTTTTATCATCATAAAAAGCAATCTTCATAGTTTCTAAAAGAGAACCACATTTTTTTTGTATCGCAAAGGTTGGGCCAGTGAGTGTTGGAATTGATGCCAGCTTAGGTTCGTTCCGCTACTACGGCGGTGGGGTCTACGACAACACAACCTGTAGTTCTAGTCGACTGACCCACGCCGTGCTGGTGGTAGGATACGGCACCAACGACGCCGGCAAGGACTACTGGATCGTTAAGAACAGGCAAGTGTGCTGTGGGACTTAAGTTAACCAAACCGTTGAACTACGGTAGTTGATTTATGGGAATTAAGTTAACCAAACCGTTGAACTACGGTAGTTGATTTATGGGACTCAAGTTAACCAAAAAATTGAACTACGGTAGTTGATTTATGGGACTAAAGTTAACCAAACCATTGAAATACGATAGTTGATTTATGGGACTTAAGTTAACCAAACCGTTGAACTACGGTAGTTGATTTATGGGCCTAAAGTTAACCAAACCATTGAACTACGGTAGTTGATTTATGGGACTAAAGTTAACCAAACCATTGAACTACGGTAGTTGATTTATGGGACTAAAGTTAACCAAACCATTGAACTACGGTAGTTGATTTATGGGACTTAAGTTAACCAAACCATTGAACTACGGTAGTTGATTTATGGGACTTAGTTAACCAAACCATTGAACTACGGTAGTTGATTTATGGGACTTAAGTTAACCAAACCATTGAACTACGGTAGTTGATTTATGGGACTTAAGTTAACCAAACCATTGAACTACGGTAGTTGATTTATGGGACTTAAGTTAACCAAACCATTGAACTACGGTAGTTGATTTATGGGACTTAAGTTAACCAAACCATTGAACTACGGTAGTTGATTTATGGGACTTAAGTTAACCAAACCATTGAACTACGGTAGTTTATTTATGGGACTTAAGTTAACCAAACCATTGAACTACGGTAGTTGATTTATGGGACTTAAGTTAACCAAACCATTGAACTACGGTAGTTGATTTATGGGACTTAAGTTAACCAAACCATTGAACTACGGTAGTTGATTTATGGGACTTAAGTTAACCAAACCATTGAACTACGGTAGTTTATTTATGAGAATTAAGTTAACCAAACCATTGAACTACGGTAGTTGATTTATGGGACTTAAGTTAACCAAACCATTGAACTACGGTAGTTGATTTATGGGACTTAAGTTAACCAAACCATTGAACTACGGTAGTTTATTTATGAGAATTAAGTTAACCAAACCATTGAACTACGGTAGTTGATTTATGGGACTTAAGTTAACCAAACCATTGAACTACGGTAGTTTATTTATGAGAATTAAGTTAACCAAACCATTGAACTACGGTAGTTGATTTATGGGATTACAGGTAGGTATGGCTGACAATACGTGATGGTCTTTGGAGAAGATAATAAAGTCTTGTCTTATTAATGTGAGGCGATTACACAACTCAAACTCATTAAGATCCTTCCACTCAGAAATTGGTACGTTACTTTTGTTCCACCATATAGGTATATTCCAGGTGTGGCTATAGGTGATATACCACAGGTATATATCAGATGTGGGAGTAGCGATGATATATACTTGATATATACTACACAGGTATATTTCACGTTGGGCTGAAGGTGATATACCACAGGTATATGTCAGATGTGTGAGTAGCGATGATATATACTTGATATCTACTACATAACTGTATATTTCAGGTGTGGCTGACAATAGCACACAACAAAGGTATATGTCAGTTGGGGGGTCATCCATAAATGACGTCACGCTTTTTTGACGATTTTTACCTCCCCCCTCCCCTCCGTCACACGTCGTCACAAAAAGCCAGACCCCCCCCCCCTAAAATGACGTCACACCTCAGCCTACAACCCCCCCCCCTCAAAATTGCAGTTGAATTTTTTTTTTAAACATCGATATTTTTCCAAAATCTTGTCTGAAATATGTCAAAATAGAGTATTTTAATCAATTCCTATTAGAATTTATTAAAACTGTTTTCTAAAACCCTAAATAACGCCTAAAATTCGTTTTTTAACATTTTTTATCTATAAAGCAAAAGTGTGACGTCATACCATCTGAACCCCCCCCCCCCCCCTCCCTCCCTCATCACACATCGTCGCAAAATAACCGACCCCCTCCCCCCCCCCCCCCCCCTCACCCTACGAGTGTGACGTCTTTATGGACGACCCCTTGTGGGACGAACGATGATATATATTAGATATATTATAAACAGGTGTGCTTAACGGTGGTACACCACACAGGTATATTTCAGGTGTGGCTAACATTGTTACACAAGCTCAAGTTTAGAGCTAAGACCTCCATATTTCACTCGTGAGCTACATTGCCTCTAACATATCACAGGGTACTAAAAGGTAGAAGTGCCTCGGTTAACGACCGTCCTGGTGATCCACAGAACGAACATCTGAATAACGATTCAAAACTTCGACCACAATGTCTCATAGCAATGCTACAATATAATGTACAACAGTCAGAGATGTGCTATTACATATACGATTGTGTTATAGTTTATCTTATTGTTACAGTTGGGGTACATCTTGGGGACTGTCGGGCTACATCCTAATGTCCAGAAACAAGAACAACCAATGTGGAATAGCAACTTTGGCCAGCTATCCAGTCATGTAGTTTACAGAGAACTTGATGAAATCAGAGTAGTATAGCGTGCTACCCACTCATGTAGTTTACAGAGAACTTGATGAAATCAGAGTAGTATAGCGTGCTACCCACTCATGTAGTTTACAGAGAACTTGATGAAATCAGAGTAGTATAGCGTGCTACCCAGTCATGTAGTTTACAGAGAACTTGATGAAATCAGAGTAGTATAGCGTGCTACCCACTCATGTAGTTTACAGAAGTGTTGTTGAAAGTTTAAAGTTAACCTAAATAAAAAAAAATACTTCTGTTGACTCTCTTTGAAACTTAATTATAAATACAAGTTGTATGTTGTAGTTGTTGTAAGTTGTAGTAAAAACCTGCTTTAACTATCATATGGGGACGTAAAGTAACGTGATGGGAAAACAAAAGCTGTAACTGTGGCTCCATCAAGGAGCTGTGTACAACGTGTCTTGTAACATGGCCAAAAGCTGTAACTGTAACTTCATCAAAGCTGTGTACAACGTGTCTTGTAACATGACCAAAAGCTGTAACTGTGGCTTCTTCAAGGAGCTGTGTACAACGTGTCTTGTAACATGGCCAAAAGCTGTAACTGTAACTTCATCAAGGAGCTGTGTACAACTTGTCTTGTAACATGGCCAAAAGCTGTAACTGTAACTTCATCAAAGCTGTGTACAACGTGTCTTGTAACAGTCATGGCCAAAATCTGTAACTGTAACATCAAAGCTGTGTACACCGCGTCTTGCCACTTGGCCGAAAGCTGTAACTGTGACATCGACGCGTCTTGCAACTTGGCCGCATTGGTTACGGTTGTTGGAGGAGAAAAGTCTTTAGCTATGCGGCGACTCTTGTGTGTCTATCAGTCCGTAAATCTATTCGTGTATCCATCAGTGCGTCACCCATCCGTTCATCCGTCCAAACGTATAGTCCTACTTATCCAACCATCCATTTATACGACCGCCAACTATCAAACACATAAATCTTTTAACCAACCGTCCGACCATCCAACCATCCTTTTCTCCAACTTTCAAACGATTCAACCATCCTTCCCTCCATCTGTCCAACTATCCAAACTAGCCGACCATCCAACCATCCTTTCCTCTATCTATCCAACTATCCAACCATCCAACTATCCAACCATCCAACCATCCTTCCCTCCATCTATCCAACTATCCAAACTAGCGAACCATCCAACCATCCTTCCCTCCATCTATCCAACTATCCAAACTAGCGAACTATCCAACCATCCTTTCCTCCATCCAACTATCAAAACTATCAAACCATCCAACCATCTTATCATCCAATCATCCTACCATCCTTTCCTCTATCTATCCAACTATACAACCATCCAACTATCCAATAATCCAAACATCCTTTCCTCCATCTCTCCAACCATCCAACAATTATTTCCTCCAGCTCTCCAACCATCCAACCATCCAACAATCCAACCGTCTGTCAAGCCATCTAGTTATACCTTACAAATCAATACATCCATATATTGATAGACAACGTCTTTTATCTCCCAGTATTTAAAAAGCCATCATATAGCAATAAAGATTGTTCACGGGACACAGGGCATGAGCAAGCTTCTCTGTTTTACTAGTATGGGCAGTCCATTCAGATGCTAAGTGGTTTTCTCAATGATTTTCCGTTTCATCTCCATTCTTTACCACTCGACCTAGTAGCAATATCTATTTTTAAATATCTATTTTTAAAATATCGATTTTTGATACAACATTGTTTGAGCTGGTTAAGAGAAGGTAAATCGATTAAATGTATAATAATTTTAAAGCACCCCCCTCCCGCCCAACCATCCAAAAAAATAAAAAATAAACCGGGAGTGATCTCCCCTAAACTTTCTCGAATATTTTTATATAAAATAACGGGGCATGGGAACTCGGGCTATAGACATGATTTTTAATCCATTTTAAATACTTAAAGTTTTAAAAATAGAATGAAATCTCGTAGACAAAAGAACTGCACACCAAGTGAACGCTAAATAAAAAAGTGCATAGTAGTGCGCAATATTATTAGTACTTTAAAAATTTACATTAGTTTTTTGAGAAATCAGAAGTAGCGTAAATTACTACTTTCGGTCAACGGAAATGACACAAAATTTAACAGAAGGTAGAGAATTAGATCTTTTACTTACATGTGAAATTTCGTTTATCTATCTGAAATAGTACTCAAGTGATAAGCTTTTGAAAATTTCAAAGTAGGAAAAGTACCAATTCCGGTTATCGGAATTCGCTCAAAAGTTGATACGGATCTACGATTTTGATAAAATACTTATATATGAAATTTCATCAACCTAGCTTTAACGGTACTCAAGTTATCGTGTTTACACACAGACAGACAGACACACAGACATACGGACAGAATTGCAAAGCCCAGTTTTTCAGACTGGATTTCGCATACAACCTCTTAATTTTGATAAATCTGGATTGATAATCTTTGCCCGATTAAAATAAGTCCTCTATACTTCGGATGTGATAAGGGACTGAGGTGTAAAACGGTGAAAATTGTTAAAATTTCAAGTGTTTTTTGTGCACGATTACAATACTTTCTCTATACTTTGTATATACGAGAAAGTAATAAAAAATCGACCTAAAATTGAGTTTTTAATGTAATATTTAAATGGCTCCACTTCCCAACGTCGCACATAGTAGCGGAGGCCCAAACGTCCTCCTGCATTAGAGGGTGCTGGCATATAATCATTCTGATTTAGCTACATGCATGGCTAGTCTGGCTGTTTCCGAGCGTCTCGGAAAATTTTAAAATTATCACATTTTCATTGTGAATTTTTTTTACTACAGGCCGTTTGGAAATTTTTCTTGGCGGCGCAACAGGAATTTTTCCCGATGGGCCGGTGGGCTAGCCCACACCTGGCTACTTAATATACGTCCCCATCCATATAATCCTCCGTAGAATGGTTTTGTCAGAGGGACTGCCGACAAATGGCCGTCGCAAATAAGTCTCCCAACACAATATGCCCGCCCATTAAAGCCCGCTACTTAAGCTCCAGCTAATGTGACCCCCTACAAGCACCTCAAACAACACTTCGGTGGAATAAATTAGAACCCGTATCTCACATAGGAAAAAAAATTAAATGTGATTATTTCGTATTTATTTCTTACAGTGGTCCACACAAAAGAAAAGTCCCTATATAAGAACGAACATAACAATACCTAAACAACAAAACACGGAGTGTCAGATGTTGTATTTGTTTATAATAGTCGTTATAGGCGAGCAGCTAGGCTAAACAAAATGGCGGAGTTCCAGCAATATTCATGCAATATTTCCTAACAGGCTTTGGGGTTGTCCTGAAGCCTTGACACACACAGACACATACACAGACATACACACAGTCTCACACACACATACACGCACACAAATATACACACACACGCACACACGCGCACGTGAACAAAAAGCTCTACCCAACAAAACCTCTCCACTACTTACCGAGTAGGAGATCTCACTGTTACAAGGATAACCTTCAAGCGTCAGCTAAAGATGATGCTCTCAATGAATAACCAGACGACCCCTACCATCAATAAGCCCCCACTGTCTACCCCATCTTATCTACGCCCCTGTAATATACCTACCGTCAATAAGCTCCCACTGTCTACTTCATCTTATCTACGCCCCTGTAATATACCTACCGTCAATAAGCCCCCACTGTCTATCCCATCTTATCTACGCCCCTACCTACCGTCAATAAGCCCCAGTTACTGAATGGACGTGGCCAGAGTCTTGACACATCAAGGTTGTTTGTCGCCAGCCAGTGTGACATACAGTCTGAATGATGACAAGATCTGTTGGATAGACAACGTCAGCTTTACAGTTTCTTAATTTCGTCTAGATAGACAGTGGTGCTACAGTCTGAATGATGCCAAGATCTGTTCGATAGACAACGTCAGCTTTACAGTTTCTTCAAATTGTTTCCTTTAGCTAGGCTGTGATCCTACCATCTGCATGATACCAATATCTGTTGGATAGACGAGGTCAGCTTTACAGTTTCTTCATGTTTCGTCTAGGTCCAAAAATGTACATACATAGATTTTTAATAGGACAAGACTTCTTTTTTTTTTGTTGTTGATAAAATCTACGTAAATACAAGTTAAAACCTTCAGCCTTTGAATTACACGAACATTTTATCATACTTTATGTATGCAGAATTGAGGAAACATTATGTAAACAGAAATATTCCGCCTATGCAGTGTGGAAAGCCACAAGAGCACATAGCGTGAAGTGTGAACTTGTAATGTGCACTTAGCGGCTCACAATTTGACGATGCATGAAATGAAAAGAAAGCCCTTCTACTGTGGAACAGGTAGTAGCACCTGGTAGACTGAAGAAAAATGTAAATTTGTTACTGTAAAAAATGTTAATACAGCATAAATTAACATTTAAGTTAATATAATTCATACACATTTAACAACAGATAAAACATTTGGTTTATGTAATTTGTTTGATTGTTGAAAAGTTTCAGCAGTGAATGAATTCATATTTAAAAACAAACAAAACAAACAAAACAACAACCAACAACAATAGTACCGTTACGTGAAAGGTTGAAATAATACATTGAATAATTTTGCTTTGCAACAATGTTGTAATGACTAACTGTTGATTACATAATGTCACAGACTGTATAATTATGTATCTTTATTATATTGTGTTTTGCATGAATGAAGAGTACCTGGCTAGCGGAAGGACTGTCTGAGCGATCGTCATGTGTTTTTCCATGTTTTTGGGTGAGATCGCTCATGTACGTAAGGGGAGAGAATGGACCGCATAAAAGGGAGAGCAAAAGGTGAACGGGTGTTGTGTGCTAGGACTTGGGACTGGAACGATGGCAGTGAATGTAAGATGTCTCCATGACTTGGAGTCGTGATTATTATTTGTACCTATATCAGTTGATCTTCAAATATGGATGTACCACGGATTTATCTGTACATAGTGTAAATAAAGTTGTCATTTGAAGTTGCCACTGTTGCTCGTGTTCCTGTATGTAAGCTAACCCACAACAACAAAGAATACATGTTGTTACACATAACTTAGGGC